GGGTTATTTCATTTAGCATGTTTCTGAGATTTTTCATCAGTGCTTTTTTTCCTTTATATTGCTGAATAATAGTTCATCATATGAATGTATCATTTTCTTCTGGTGGACACCTGGATTGTTTTCGTAGCAAATTACAATTATTTTATACAGGATAGCACACTGTCCTCCTTGCATATTATTTCTTCACTCTTGAGTCACTAACATTATAGCTTACTCAGTGCTCAAGGGAGATTTTTTTTTTTTTTAGAGGCATTTTTTGTTTGTTTGTTTGTTTGTTTGATGGTTTGTTTATACATGCACTGGGTACAGTCAGAAGCACGGGAGGGTGAGAGAATTCACCAGAGCCAGAGCGGGGAGCAGAGCAGGCAGAAGGACCGAAGTACACTGCTGAGGGGAGCAGCGGGCGGCAGGAGAGGTCTGCATGCCATGTGGGACCCTCCTCCGGTGGCCGGGGAGCAGCCAGGGATCGAACCGGCGCCGCAGAGGCCGCAGGCAGCTTCGCAACCCAGCGCTCAACCGCTGCGCCACCGGGGAGGCCTCAAGGGAGATTTTTTCAAAGACACAAGTCCTTTTCATTTGTTTGACACCTCAGCAGTACCGTTTCTCTCTAATCTAGATTTTAGCCAGTGAGAGAGGTTAAGGAGTTGGTTATATTAAACGTGTATCACACATAATGGTGTATGGATTTTGTTGTGGTTTTTTTTTTTTGGTTTTTTTTTTTTTTGGTTTTTTTTAGTGCTGGTAAGTGAATTATCCCATAGAGAATCATTGGCTTCTGAGCTGTTGGTTTCTACATTATATACATCTTAGATCTTAAACTCTTCCTGGACAAACTCCTGTCTAATTTTTTGAAACAACATTGTGTTTTTACTATTGACAGGAAATGGAAGTAGGAGTTCTTGTGTTACTTTCTAATGGTTTCAGGTAGTTCTCACTGCCAAGTGCTTGAAGCAGTAGCAGTAGCAGCAGCAGCAGCAGCAGCAAAGAGAAGAAAACAGGCACAGGATAGAGGAGACAGAGAGACATTACAGGTTGTTGGTAGCTGAAGTCCCACAGTTATAAATTGAAATTCTACCTTTTTAGAGAGAAATTCAAATTGACATGTTTGCAATATTTCATTTTTAATTAGGCAGTACTGTATATACATACCATCTTTGACAGATGGACAAGGTGGCAATTCTTAAAATTTAAACTTGACAACTTTTTTTGTCTGATGTATATGCAGTGTACATTCTTTGTATCTATTCTCAAAAATACCATAAGAACATCAAGACTCATAAAACAACCTCTTTATTTCATGATATCCAGGATAAGATCTAATTTTTAAAAATTTGTCATGGTTTAAGGACAAGTAATTAAGGATATAAAAGGAGTGTTTCAAGTTAGACCCACTCTGTATTTTCCAGAAGGTATGAAAGTAATACCACTTAATAGGTTAACTGCCACCCTGCACTTTCAAAGCACTTTAGAGTCATTCATCTGTCTGAGGAAGGATAATATTAGCTCCCTTAGTTAATAGATGGAAACTCTCCCCCATGCCCCATATTTTATTATATTTGAGTTCCAGAATTTATCCAGAGCTCTCCAAACAGTGTTGTGGTCTTCTGGTGACCTAACAAAGATTCCCTTCAATAATGGATTTCCTTCCCCCTTATCCCCTAAATACTTCTGGGATAATTTTTTCAAAAGGATTTTGAAAATTAGACACAAGTAACTGTCAGCTTTATGTGGCAAGAGTAAAAATAAATTTAACTTGAATATTTATAAGAGATTTTATCACTCATCGAAGAAGATGAAACTATTGTATATTTGTTTATTTTTTAAAATCTTTTTTTTAAGATTTATTTACTTATGCATACAAGAGCTGGGGTACAGTCCAGAGTTGTGGGGGGTGAGAGGATTCACCAGAGACAGAATGAGGAACAGAACAAGCAGATTGACCGAAGTACACTGCTGAGGGGAGCAGCGGACGAGGCAGGAGAGGTCTGCGGCACCATGTGGGAATCTCCATGGCGGGGATCGAACTTGTGTTGCAGTGACTGTGGATAGCTTCATAGTTTGCATCTTAACCCCTGCGCCACCAGGGAGGGGTGTATTTAACTATTGTATATTTAAATAGGTAGAATATTTCCTTGATTAAGATAAAACCTGTTGGGCCTCCCTGGTGGCACAGCAGTTGAGCGCTGGGTTGCAAAGCTGCCCGCAGCCTCTGCAGTGCCGGTTTGATCCCCGGCTGCTCCCCGGCCACCAGAGGAGGGTCCCACAGGGCGCAGAGACCTCTCCTGCCGCCCACTGCTCCCCTCAGCAGTGTATTTTGTCGGTCTGCCTGTTCTGTTCCCCGCTCTGGTGAATTCTCTCACCCTCCCGCACTTCTGACTGTACCCAGTGTTTGTATAAATAAATAAATAAATAAAATCTTTTAAAAAAAAAAAAATCTGTAAGCAAAGTTTACTTTATTGTGCAAGTAATTCATGGTTTTATTTCTGGAGGAGAAGTTATAGAATCCTGATTTAAAATAATTTAATAATTGCATTATAATTTAATAATTTCATTGTATTGGTCTAGATATTTTGTGGTTGACAAAGAAGTGTTTTATTTCCTAATTTTGTCATATTGGTTATGAGGATAACATTTCTGCAGATTGCTGGTTATGTTATTATTGTAACTAATAGTATTCAATTACAACATGTTTAAAGGAATTTCATAATTTGAAGAAGTAAAGAGCATATTTATGCCCCTGGTTGTACCGTTCTTGTTCATTTAAATATAGAACACCTTGAAGACAAAAATTCCTAAGTCTGATTGAATCTGTGTGATCAGTGCTTATTTACAAGTATGTTTAATCCTGTCCCTGTTTTTTAAAGTTTATTGATACTGCATAAAAATATTAATCATTAAGTGATCTGAATGTAGATATTTTCAACATGTCTACAGAAAGTCATTGTCAGAGAATTCATTCTAATTCAAGGTTAATTAGTGTACCATTAAAATAATGTGTTACAAAAATTAATTACATTGCAGGTCAAAAAACGTGTTTAAAAGTGTAATACAAATGTCTGAGAGCATATCGTCCTTCTTAAAACATTGCTATACATGTGCCACCCTCTGGAAAATATAGCCAAAATGAGAATCACTACAGAGGTCCAGTCATAGGTGTTTCCCCTAAAGTAAATTTTTGGCAGCACATATAGGAAATTTAAAATATAACTCCCATTAACAGTTAAATGTGTTACTTGTCTGCTTTCCCATTGAAACAGCTAAGGATTTATGTTTAGCATTAGTTGATGTAACTCTATTGGGTTAAACCTAAAAAGAAATTAGACACCTGGTTGAGAAGTAGAAATTATCTGTACCTCTTGTGTAAAAGTATTAGCTATATTAATATTATGTTTTCCTATTTAATTACTAGATAGTTCTGTCAAGTGCATTGTGTATGTATATCACACATCATTTTAACTCTGTAGTAATTTAAACTCTGTAATTTAACTTAATAGCAATAAAATGTATACTTAAAAATTAGAACTAAAAATTAGAACTAAAAATGAGACTTTGAAATTTTATCTGAGTTTTTTCATGTGACAGCTATGTAGCAGTTACACTAAACTGCAGGATAATTTATGCATTGGTGTTTGTTCAGCGGTCTTATTAGAAAATCTTAATAGTCACCTAGAGGGTTTTGACTTAGTGCCCTGCTAACAGAAGAACAGTACACATTAGAACTATAGAAATTTTAACACTGGAACCTAGTTTTTTCTACTCAGCAAATATAGTTTTTGCTTGATTTTTAGACATCTCCATTTTAAAAACAGTACACTCTAAACAAACTAATTTTGTTACTACAACAAATTGTGAATGACTTGCCTGTATTTTCAAATTTTCTGTTTCCCTTCCTCTTTGAATTTTGTGTAAGCCTATTGGAAAACAAATACAGGTAAATAAAAATAGATTGAGCAAATGAAAAGAAAAAGAAAAAGGACAATTTAGACAGAAGTTATCTTAGATCTCAGTTTAATTAGTTTAACTAATAGGTGTGTGAAGAGTTTGAAAGATAAAGTATAAGTGGGTTCAGTAATGCTTTCTTGAGAGGTGCCTTTTACTTTAAAACCGTCTTTATCCCAGCTTATATCTACTTAAATCTCTTTTGAAATGGCATAAAGCAGGGATTTCAACTTAATGTAGAAAGACATTCCAGTCTTTAAAAATTTCATCATTAGTACCCTGAAAAAGTAGTTAAGCCATACACTCCTCATTTCTTCAGAAAAGCCCTTAGCTTTGGGCTTTTTTCATTCGTTGAATCAAGCTTTTCTGACTGTAGAGAATAGAATTAACACATAGTAACTGTGAGTTGTTGGTAGATAAGTTAAAATTAATGTTTTAAATGTAGTACTTTATCTCCTAATATTTATTCTGTTTTACAGATGGCTTTCACAGTCAACATTTTAAGATAGACACTAATGGATTGGACTATTGTTTTATTTTAGATATTTCTGAATATATATTTGGAATGTTAACGGGGAGTGCTTAGTTTAAAACTGATTAGATTTTCTTATGTTTTAAGGCATAAACTTGAATAAATTTAGATATACTACATTTAAATTAAGATTTTTACTGAGGTTTAACTACTTGTTTTTCAGTCACAAGATTTCTTTCACTAGAGAAGGTGAACATAAAGCTTTAACATTTGTAAAGTATTTTAAAATTTACAAAGCACTGTCTTATAGTTCATTTATTCAACAAGTGTTATAGACATTATTGTTGTTAGTATTAGCCTTCTCTCCACTGTGTAGTGAGGAAACAGAGCAGGCTTAAATAAGTCACTAGGCTAGTATGCTGTGGATACCAGAAACATAACTCAGGACTTCCAGAAGATTGGAAATTTCACTTGATTGCTTTTCCCATGCAGCCTTTTAATGTCAGTTAACCTACAGTTTCACATATTTGCGTGTTTTTTATGGCCCCACAACTGGACTAATGCATTTATCATTTTCTGTGTTTTTTAGGGCAGAGCTCTACTCCATTGGGCATGTGACCGAGGACATAAAGAACTAGTCACAGTCTTGTTACAATATAGAGCTGATATTAATTGTCAGGTAAGAGTGATAAAGAGGGAACTTTAAAAAAATAAATTGAGGTAAAATCCACATGACATAAAATTGTTTTAAATTCAGTGACATTAATACATTTTACAATGTTGTGTGACCATCACAGTTATTAGTAGCACATTTTTATCACTCCAAAAGGAAATCTGTACCCAGTCAGTGGTAACTTTCTGTTTGCCTCTCACACCAGATCTTGACAACAACAAATCTGCTTTCTGTATCAATGGATCTGCTATTCTAGATATTCCATGTAAATGGAATCGTAACATACATGGCCTTTGTGCCTGGCTTCTTTCACTTAGCATAATGTTTTCAAGGTTTATCCTATTGTAGTATATAACAACACCTCATTCCTTTTCATATCTAAATAATATTGCATTATATATACATATCACATTTTGTTTATCAGTTTATCAGCTTATAAGCTGTTGGGTTGTTTCCCCCTTTTGGCATTTGTGAATCATTGCTGTGAATAATTGCTGTACATGTTTTCTTCAGAACACTTGTTCTCCAGTTCTTTTGGCTGGAGTAAAATTGCTGAATGATATGGTAATTTTATGTTTAACTTTTTGAGGAACCATGATTTTATAACCCCAACAGCAATGCACAAGTGTTCTTGTTTGTCCACTTCTTTGCCAGTCACTTGGTTTCCTGTTTAGTGGCCATCCAAATGGGCATGAAATGACATTTCACATGGTATGGTTTTGATTTGCATTTCCATTGTGGCTAATTAGGATGACTGTCTTTTTATGTACTTCTTGATAACTTGTGTCTCTTTGGAGAAATATTTATTGAAGTCTTTCACACATTTTTTAATTGAATTGATTTTTTGTTGTTGAACTATAAGTGTTCTTTATATATTCTGAATACTCTGTCAAATATATGATTTGCTGATATTTTCTTCCTTCTTGATCTTGTCCTTTAGAGGCACACATGTTTTAAATTTTGATCAAATACAAAGTTATCTTACTTGTCTTTGGTTAGTTATACTTTTGATGTCATAAATAAGAAACCAATGCTGGATCTAAGGTCATTTAGATTTACTCATGTTTTCTTTCTTACTTTTATTGTGGCAAAATATATATAGCATAAAATTTTCCATTTTCACCATTATTAAGTGTATTGTTCTGTTACTTAAGAACATTCTTGTATTGCCATCACCTACCATTCATCTCTAAAACTTTTCATCTTCTCCACCTCAAACTCTGTACACATTAACTAATTGCCCATTACTTCCTTCCTGCAGCCCTCACAAGTGCCATTCTGTTTTCTATATCCATGAATTTGACTATTCCAGGTACTCATATAAGTGAAATTATATAACATTGCTCTTTTTGTGGCTGGCTTATTTGACTTAATGTATTGAATTCAAGTTTCACCCATGTTGTAGCATGTGTCAGAATTTCCTTGATTTTTAACAGTTAGTAATGTTAATGTGTATTGCATTTTGTTTATCCAAAGAACCCTCTGCTCAGCATGGATTTATTTTGCCTTTTGGCTATTGTAATAATTTTGCTAGGATTTTGGGCGATAAAGTTCTGTTCCAGTTCTTAGTTTCATTTCTTTTGAGTATATGCCCTGTAGTAGAATTGCTGTCTCATATGGTAATTCTTTTCTTAACTTTTTAAGGAATTAATATACTGTTTTCACAGTTACTGTGCCATTTTTCATTTCTATAAGCAATGCAAAAGGAGTTCCAGTTTCTCCACATCCTTATCAACACTTGTCATTTTCTGTGTTTCTAATGAGCCATTGTAATGGGAGTGAAGTGGTATTTCACTGTGGTTTTGATTTACATTTCCCTTAATTGGTTATGTTGGACATCTTTTCATGACATTATTATGTTGTATTTGGAGAAATGTCCATTCATGTCCCATGTTTTAACCCAGTTTGTTTCTTTGTTGTTGAGTTGCAGAAATTCTTTATATATTCTAAATATCAATCCTTTATCACATGTATAATTTACAAATATTTCTTTATTTCTATCGGCGGTCTTTACTTTGTTGATAGTGTCTTTTGATGTACAAAAGTTTTTCATTTTGATGAAGCCTAATTACCTTTTTTGCTGTTGTTGCCTCTACTTTTGGTGTCCTAAGATACCATTGCCAAATTCAATTCCCTATTTATTTTAAGTTTTATTCTAGCTCTCACACTTAGATCTGTGGCCCATTTCCAGTTGATCTTATGGCCTCATTTTTTTTTTTTTTTTGCATGCAAATATTCAGTTTTCCCAGCACCATTTGTTAAAAAGATTATCTTTTTCCTATTCAGTGGTCTTGGCATCTTTGTCAAAAATCATTTGATCAGGGCCTCCCTGGTGGCACAGAGGGTAAGTCTCAGCACTATCAAGCTTTCACCAGCCACTGCAGCATGAGTTTAATCCCTGACCAGGGAGCTAATCCATATGGTGCAGCAGACCTCTCTTATCTCGCCTGCTGCTCCCCTCAGCAATGTATTTCAGTCAGTCTGCCTATTCTGCTCCCCACTCTGTCTCTGGTGAATCCTCTCACCCCCTGCACCTCTGGCCTACACCCCAGTTCTTCTATGCATAAATAAATAAAATTTAAAAAATCATTTGGTCATATATATGAGGGATTAAGTTCTGTATTCTATTTCATTGGTTTATATATCTCTCCTTTTTGCCAGTATTATACTGGTTTTATTACTGTGGCTTTGTAGTAAATTCTGAAATCAGGAAGTGTGAGACCTCCAACTTTTTCAAAATATTTTGGGATATTCTTGGTCCATTGAGTTTCTATGTGGAGTTTAGGGTGGATTTTTCTTTTTCTATAAAACATGTCATTGGGATTTTTATAAGATTGACTTAAATCTGTAGATCTCTTTGGGAGTACTGTCATTTTAATAATGTTAAGTCTTCTAGTTCATGTGATGATTTTTTGTTTACTGCTGTCTTTAATTTCTTTCAGCAACATTTTGTAGTTGTCAGTGCATAAATCATTCACCTCTTTGGTTAAATTTATTCCTGAGAATTTCCTTATTTTTTTTGATGGCAGTAAATGAAAATTTTTTCTAAAATTTCTTTTCAGATTGTTCATTGTTAGTGTTTAGAAATGTAACAGATTTTTATATCCTTCACCTTTGCTGAATTCATTTATTTTAACAACTCCTTTTGGAGTCCTTGGGATTTTCTACATATTTTTTTTTTAAATAATAAATTTTATTTTTGTATTCCCCCATACAATTGCAAACGCCCCATTCTGACCCCAATCCTTCCCCTCCCGCCCCCCACCCCCCAAAAAGTGTCTCTGGTTCATAGTTTTTTGTTGATTTTGATTTTCACTTTCTTATATTCATTTTCCTGGTCCCTTATTTAAGTTTTCTAGATTCCTGCTATGAGTGAGACCATCCGGTATTTTTCTTTTTCATTTTGGCTTATTTTGCTGAGCATGATCCCTTCCAGCGCCATCCATGTTGCTGCAAATTGCATGTGTTTATCTTTTTTGAATGCTGAGTAATATTCCATGGTATATATGTACCACATCTTCTTGATCCAGTCATCTATTTTTGGGCATTTGGGTTGTTTCCAAAGCTTAGCTATTGTAAACAGTGCTGCTATAAACATAGGGGTGCAGGTGCTCTTTGGAATTGATGTTTCTGTGTCCTTTGGGTAAATACCTAGGAGTGGAATTGCTGGATCATATGGAAGCTCTATGTTTAGTAGGTCCAGAAATCTCCACACAGCTCTCCATAGTGGTTGGACCAGTTTGCACTCCCACCAACAGTGCAGAAGAGTTCCTTTTTCTCCACACCCTCGCCAACATTTGTTGTTGCTAGTTTTTTTAATATGTGCCATTCTCACTGGTGTGAGATGGTATCTCATGGTAGTTTTGATTTGCATTTCCCTGATACAGAGTTGCAGCCTGGATTAAGAAACAAAACCCAACCTTTTGCTGTCTCCAGGAAACACATTTAGCTACAAAAGATAAAAATAGGCTCAAAGTCAAAGGATGGAAAACAATCCTACAAGCAAATGGGCCAAAAAAGAAAGCAGGAACAGCTATACTTATATCAGATAAAACAGACTTCAAACTCAAAAAAATAAAAAGAGACACCAATGGTCACTACATTATGATTAAGGGGACAATACTTCAAGAAGAAATAACACTCATTAACATATACTCACCAAACGAAAGAGCACCAAAATATATCAGACAACTGTTGTCCTCTCTGAAAACAGACATCAGAGAAAACACATACGTCGTGGGAGACTTCAACACACCACTATCAACAATGGATAGATCAACAAGACAAAAAATAAGTAAAGAAACTAAAGCTCTAAATAAGGACCTAGAGCATTTGGGCTTAACAGACATCTATAGAACACTAAACCCAAAAAAAACGGAGTACACATTTTTCTCAAGCGCACACGGATTTTCTACATATTTAAATCCTGTTGTCTATGACTATAGTTCAATATACTTCTAACTTTACAGTTTGGGTGCCTTTTATTTCCTTTTCTTGCTTAATTGCTTTGATTAGTCCTCTAGTAGCATGTTGAATAAAAATAGTAAAAGTGGGTATCCTTGCCTTATTCCAGGAGTTTTATTTTTAATTTCAATTTCCTTTGCAAATATTCGTTGATGCGTGTGTTTGTATTTGTATATAGATAGATACTTGTATGTGGTGGTATTGAGGAAATACACAATACGTTTACAGGTATGCCTGAGTATTGTAAGTTTTGTGAGTATGATTTGCTTTCACTTTTGCAAGATAAAAATATAAATTTAATATGGCCTCTAAAACCCCTCATGATATACACCTTGCTTACTTCTTCACTGTTTTCTCTACCCACTCCTTGCTTAAGTCTCATCTCTTAAGCCCCATTGGTTCTGAAGAACTTGACATGCTGCTCACCTCTTGACCTTTTCATATATATATTGTTTTCTCTCCATCATTTTTCCTCCTAGAGTTCAGCTTACACTTCATTTCCTCCAGGAAGCTTTCCTTCACTCTGACCAGGTAGACATGGA